GCATGTCCGGGGCCACCACGGGGCCACCACGGGGACGGCAGGGCGGTGACACCGAGCATGTCCAGGGCCACCTCCAGGGCCACCACGGGGCCACCTCCGGGGCCACCTCCGGGGCCACCTCTGAGTCACAACACGGACAGCAGCACGATGACACCAACCATGTCCGGGGCCACCACGGGGCCACCACGGGGACAGCAGGGCGGTGACACCAACCATGTCCGGGGCCACCTCCAGGGCCACCACGGGGCCACCTCCAGGGCCACCTCTGAGTCACAACACGGACAGCAGCACGGTGACACCAACCATGTCCAGGGCCACCTCCAGGGCCACCTCTGAGTCACAACACGGACAGCAGCACGGTGACACCAACCATGTCCAGGGCCACCTCCGGGGCTACCTCCGGGGCCACCACGGGGGCACCTCTGAGTCACAACAGGGACAGCAGCACGGTGACACCAACCATGTCCAGGGCCACCTTCAGGGCCACCTCCGGGGCCACCACGGGGACAGCAGGGCAGTGAGATCGGCCACCTCCAGGGCCACCTCCAGGGCCACCACGGGGACAGCAGGGGGACAGCACTGCAGTGGCACCAACCATGTCCAGGGCCACGTCCGGGGCCACCTCCAGGGCCACCTCCGGGGCCACCTGGCCCTGCAGGGCCGTGTCCATCCCCGTGGCCGTGGCCAGGTCCTCGTCACTCGTTGAAGATGGCCCCGAGCTGGGGCGCGGCCGCGTGGGCCGGGAAGGGCTCGTAGCCCCCGTCCAGCGGGATCTCGTAACGGGGCCCGGAGCTCTGGAAATGGGAACCGTGGCCGTGCTGGGCCCCGGCCAGGCTGAGAGACGGGAAAGGAGCCACGAAGGGAAAAGATTTCTCCAGCAGCTCCGGGGACCCGTCCTGCTTCAGGGAGAAATTCCCGCTGATGCTCAGGGGGGGAGTCAGCGGCCCCTCGTAGGGAGGGGGGGGCGTGGAGCAATCCGAGGGGTGACCCCCAAAAGAAGCATCCACCAAACCCTTGAAGGCCGGCGGCTTCAGGTGCAGCAGGTGAGACTCCACGGATCCGTACGGGGGGCTGGGTAACCCTTGGTAGCCAAAGGAGTGGCCCGGTAGCCCCGACTCGCAGCCGGAAGTTTTCTCCTCGTGTTTCTCCAGCAAAAGCTGCGGGCCCAGCTGCAGACACCCGGCCACCAGGTTGCTGGTGGGCTGTGAGAGCCCCTTGCACAACATTTCCACGAAACTTTTCCCCTCGGGGGTCTGCCCGCTCTCCAGCACCTCGGAGAGAGCCCAGATGTAATTCCTGGCCAGGCGCAGCGTCTCGATTTTGGAAAGTTTTTGGGTTTTGGAGTAGCAGGGCATGACCCTGCGCAGGTTGTCCAGGGCATCGTTCAATCCGTGCATCCGCGTTCGCTCCCGGGCGTTCGCCTTCACCCTCCTGGCCCGGAACCTCTCCAGCCTGGCTTTGGTCATCTTCTTCTTCTTCGGGCCCCTCCTCTTCGGCTTCTCACCATCCTCCTCTTCCTCCTCGTCCTCCTCCTCCACGCTGTCGTGCTCCTCGGGCAGGGTCGGTACCAGCCCCAAGGATGCGCTGCGGGCGTTCCCCTCTTTGAGCTCGGCTTTGGCCGCGGCGATTTCGCCCATCCAGGCCTGGCTGCTGCCGAGCTCGGCCATGGCCGAGGCTTTGGGGCAGCTCTGGGGCATCCCCCGAGCTCTGCAAGGCAGGGACAGGGAGGTGGGCACGGCGAAATTCCTCCTCCACACACGCCAGAGGATTTCTGCTCACTGCCAGCGCCTGCAGATTCCTTTTCCCCGCATAATTCCCTCTCAGTTTGCCGTGGATTTTTTTTTTCTGGAGTTGCTAACGCCTCTCCCTGAGCTCCAGCAACTTTCCCGTTTCGGGGTTATTCCC